TGTTATTCTGACCCTCATGACCCTTATTCGGACTCTCATGACCCTTATTCTGAGCCGCGTGAACGTTATTCTGACCCTCATGACCCTTATTCTCACCCTCATTACCCTTATTTTGACCCTTATGACCCTTAATTTTGCAATCTTAATTTCGAGTACCACATATATTGATGTCGCCGTCCACATATATTGACTATGTTATGACAAAAGGTATTTCCCACTTATTTTGTTTGCATTATCACATCATGGGAGATTCTTTCGGAAAATTTCCAATGATTTCGACAGGAAGAACTATCAAACCGAAGCGTTGTTATGACTTGAGGGGCCAAACCATCTTTACCCTTTGACCTCTTTAATCCTTAGAATAATTGTGCTCATCTGTTCTGCATTTGTTGCAGGTAGGTCCTGCATATTGTGATCCTAGAATGTAAGTTCCTACTGCCTTTGATCGCAGGGACTATAGTGCAAGTGATTTCTTAGCTTTCCTTTCTGGTCCTCGTAAAGCGGATACTAAGGCGTTATTTTTATATTTGTTGAATGATTTACAGGTAAGAGACATTAGTTTAGTTGTGCAAGCGGAGGAGACATTATTCTTGGGGAAAAAATATGGTCGTCTAGTAAAACCTGATCAAGTGATTACCAATTATCTTTTTCAGTTTATCGACTGCGCCTAAAGATCTTCAGGCTAATAACAATCGATGTTCTCTGATTGTTATTATCACATTCGTTATTTAACCCTCCGAATGGTTTATTGCGGATTTACTCAGGAATATTATGATATTTCATTCTTTTTATATCAAGACGAATTGGAAACGAGTCAATTATACGAATCTAGGAAATATAAAATTGTGTGGCTGAGAGATTATTTGATGATATTACAGTGAAACTCTGAACTCCAAACATCGTATAATATTGTATACTGGCATAGGGACTACCACCCTGTGGGACAATGTAAATGAACAAGTGGGTAATTTCTATTGTCTTGATATGGTGTAGTTATTTTTGCTAATAAATTCGCAATAGCGTATCCGAATGGTCATCTTGTACATGATTTTTTTTCTTGCATATCACCATTTATCCTTTCATATTATTTCATTGAATTCGATGAGATATCTACTTAAATTATTGTTTGATCCTCAACTCAATCCAATTATTGTCATTTGATTATTAGTATGATTATTCTCATTATCTTTTTTTTTTTATACAGCCGATTTGTCTTCTTACGGTTCTATTAGGGTTTTCATGTGTTCTACTCTGTAATGCTCAATTGTACTAAATGATAGAATATATGTTCATGCCACTCATTTTTTCAATTGAAGTGAGTCTTCTATGAAAATTGGATCAATTTGAACTTTTTTTCATTCAAATAAATCGTGAAAATAAATTTTACAAAATGATGATTTCAAACTTCAATGAAATAGCGTTGGAAACAAGTTTTTCATACAGAATGGAATGATCTTGAAGCATCATATTTGAAGAAACCATTGAGAAGCTTCCTGGGAAATTCATGAAAAATTCACCAAAATGTAAAAATCATTATAAAAATCAAACCTACGGATCTACCAATCGTAATAATCTTTCAACTTCGACAAAGTGGTTTTGAAATTGAAATTTTAAACTGTGATTGAATCAATTTGAAGCATAATAATATTTCCAAATTTTTATATAAATGGAAACAACAATTAGTGCTATCGCCTCCATCTTCAAACTCGGTCGAAAGGATATCCAAAGCTATCGCTATATATCCAAAAATTGTATTTTCGGACTTTTTGGATCATAATGGGTCGATATAACACAAAAGAACCGAAACTAAAATTTGAACGATTACAAGGCTTCCATTCCGAAGCAAAAAACGAAGCTAAAACTTTAACGATTACAAATCTTCCGTTCGGAAGCAATAAAATATAAAAATGAATAATTGTGCTCGTCTTTGCCGGTCAACCCTCAAAAATAGTGAATTTTCACTTTTTCCATTTTGTTCAGCATCTACCTTCATCGATCTATTGCCAGTAAAACCAAAAATCACAAGAGCAGTGATCCATACTGCACAACAAATGTTTGAAGGTTTATAAAGTAATGAAGTTCATTTCATCCAAATAATTATTTCAATTATGCAAGTATTCCGCAACGGACTAGCGCATTAAATGTAACGGCAGGTAGGAGCTATGCAAAACTAAGCAGCACTATGAGCGCTTCCACTGAGTGAATAGGTAAGCGCTGGAACAATTCGAAAAATAAAAGTGTTACAGAAAAGAGTACCGTGGAACGAATAGCGGGGAGGATGGGAAAAGAAGAAAACGGAAAATTTTTCCATGAAAAGATTTCTCAGTGTGTGAGCCCAGTGTGATTGTTAGAAAATTTCTTGGCATGATTCACAAAATCACTCTTTCCGGTATAGACGGTTGGTTGCCGGCGCGTCCAGCCTTCTCAACTTCTAAAGCAACTCTCACAAACCATTACAAAAAAATTTAAATATCATTTTTAAAAACCGCAAACAATGTCCAGAAAACTCGATTTGATTCTGAATCGTCGTTTTTTTCTGAATTTAATGAGCGTTTCATTTTTCTTTAGAGAATTATATTACAATAAATGGTTTGCTCATGTTCTAATTCCTATGCTCACTGAATAAGATTTTAATCATAATTACCATTCAATTCCTCCTAGAACCCACTTTAGATTGTAAATTTCTGTAATTCAATGTTTGTTGATACTCTGGTAAAAATGCGTGCCCCCACTGTTATCAATATTTAGTTAGTTCACACGGTAATTCAATTAATCTGTTGTTCATCTCATTAATATAAGTCCGCGCTTAGAGGATTGTCATTTCGTGTTTTCAGCACCAAATTAAAAATTAAAACTGCATTTGGAATATTGAGTCACAGCTTCTTTCTACTCATATCAAAAATTTAGTATTTGGATATTAATATGATTTGTTCAAAGTAAAGAAATCGCTCATCATTACATTGTATTCAATCGATCATCACTACATTGTATTCAGATTCTCTCATCCTTAACGTAAAAAATGTGAGATAATCTCATAATTCTAGCTATTCATTCTAATCAACTTTGTTTGATAAGAAAACCTTAGCAAATGCAATAATAAGAAAGTAGAATTATTCCATTTTTCTCTGACCTAAATGATTTGGACAATTACGATTCATTTATTCATGTTTCATAGAATGGTTTTCAATTCTCTTTTGTTTCTTAGGCTGGCTTCATGAAAATTCGACGCAACACGATTGTACTCATGAAAAACACCTTACTTTCTCCACTCATTTGAAATATCCGCCATGTTCGAGTTCTTTAGAATTTAGAATTTTTCGTGAATTGCTCTGAAAATGAACTTTCTGATGGTTTTTTCAAATATGTTCCAAATTCATTCCATAATATAGATAGCATCATTCTTCCATTCGATTTATAAAAGAACTTCCTAAATGAATGAATATCACATTGAAGGAAATATTATTTATGATAAGTCAAAGTTACTGAAGAAATAGTTGAAGTTTCTCGAGTTTCCCAAAAAACTTGAGAAGTTTTTTTAATTCACTTGAAAACTCAAGAACTTTCTTGGACTCTTTAAAAAACTTGAGAATTTTTTCGAATTTTCTTGAATTTTCTAGAAAACTTTAAGTTTCTCTAATTTTCTAGAAAATTGGCGAAACTTCGCGAATGTTCTATAAAATTCCAGAAATTATTCAAATTTTCTAGAAGACTCGAGAAATTTCTCGATTTTTCTAGATTTCGGCAATTATTCTTATAGCATTCAAAAGTTTGTTGATTTTCCATCTCTTAGAAAATTTACCTTAACTGATTATTTAAATAAAAAAAGAACGGTTAACCGTTCTTTGGCCGCGCTAGCTCGGCTGACGTCTGTGGTCGCGCGGTTAGCGTCGCGCCTTACGTGGTTTGGGCGATACGGCGTTGCCGCAGTACCTATCTTTTCGATTGGGTCCTCGCACGTCAAAACAGTCGTTCACGTTCGAAAGTCCTTCAATTTCCTCGAAAGGTCCGGAAAATGCCTGAGTCTCACGAAATTTCGAGAAACATTTTCTCGAATTTCGATGAATTTTCGTAAAGCTTCTCTCAAACTTTCTAGAAACTCCGAATTTCCACGAAATTTCATAAATTCCCTTGAATTTCCTCGAAATTTCTATAAACTCCTCGAATTCCTGCGAAATTCCTAGAAATTCCTTGCATTCCCTCGAATTTTATAGAAACTTGCTGACTTCCCTCCAAATTTATTGTAAGTCCTTGCATTTCCTTGAAAGTTGCAGAAAGTCCCTGAATTCTCACGAAATTCCTTGAATTCCGTCGAAATTTCAAAAAAGTTTCAGAATTCTCTTGAAATTTATAAAAGCCCTTTGCATTCCCTTGAATTTTCTAGAAACTCATTGAATTTGCTGAAAATTTCTAGAAATTCCCTGCATTCTTTAGCATTTTATAGAAACTCCTTGAATTCCCTCGAAATTTCTTGAAAGTCCCTGAATTTCCTCAAAATTTCCAGAAAATCCTCGAATTCTCACGAAATTTCTTGAAATTCCGTAAATTTACTCGAAATTTCTAGAAACTTCTACATTACCTCGGAATTTTTAGAAGTTCCTTGAATTCCCTGAAAATCTCGAAAAAGTTCCTGAATTCTCTCGAAATTTTTAGAAGCTTTTTGCATTTCCTTGAATTTTATAGGAACTTCTTGAATTTGCACGACTTTCAAGAAAACCCGAAAATTTCCTGGAATTTTCTGGTGAACCAAAGAATTTTCTCTTCTCCCTGTAAAATCCGAGAATATCCTCAAACTTTGTAAAAAAATCCGAAAATATTTTCAGACTTCAGAATATTCAAGATTTTTCCAGAAAGTTCCAGAATTTTCTAGAAAACTCCAGAATTTTCTGGAAGTTTCTAAGTGGCATATTAAGCTATGCAACGCAGCACAGTTAATTATAGCCTCAAGCCATCTAGAGATCCTAAACTATTAAAAAGTGAAAATGTAATTGAAATCCATTTAGTAGTTTTCGTGAAACACGGCCAAATAATCGGCAACAGCTTTATTATATTTTATTTATAAAAAACGAACATCACTCAAGAGTTAATAAATATTGTCTCGACAATAATAATCTCTAGTTTTCAACCAACAGGATAACGATTAGCGTGAAGAATAACGTCGCGGTACGCCGGAGGTGGTGTATCCGGACAAACTGGAATTCGTCGAAGATTGTTGACATCTTCATCACTATTGCTCCAGATATTCCTCAACAAAGAGACTCGTTGCGCAAGGGGACTAGAGAACTCGAAGCTAGCTTGACTGTTGTGTGATATCGTGTCGTATCTGCGTAATGATGAATTCAGCAATGACGGTCTCTGCGAAGATCCCACAATTGATCTGGACAACCAGCAATACGTTCCGATTATTCCGAGCCCAAGGCCTGTTATGAATCCGAAAATACATAAAACCGATGCCTCGAAAGTATAAAAGTCCTTCAATTTATTTATCTTTTCTTCTACGGAAGCTGCGGTCTTCTCATCGTCTCTATTTTCTTCCTTCACCCAACCAGTATTTCCGGTATTTTTGTTTTTCGGTAAGATGATTGTGTTCGGGGCATTCTTGGGTTCCACCATTACAGGACTCAATACTATTTTTTCGAATTTTTTTACGCTGCTGCGGCGGGGGCAGACTGATGGCTCGTATTTAATTTCCCTCGACGTCAAGTAGTGCTGGAGACTCTGCATTTGTTTGGTGTTGCATGCCCATGGATTACTGTTTAAAGGAATATGTGAACAGTTATTTTGGATCATTTTTTTGCTTCCGAATGGAAGATTTGTCATTGTTCAAATTTAAGCTTTGGATTTTTTGTGTTATATAGATCCAGTATGATCCAAAAAGTCCGAAATAGTATATTTCGATACGAGTGAGACGGCATTTTCACGAGCGTGAAGTTGGCCGCCCGAGGCGAAGCCGAGGGCTACCAATCACGTGAGCTGAAAATTCCTGTCTCATACGTGTCGAACAATATTTTTTGACAGTGATGTTACGTTCAGCGAGTGGTCGAACGTCCCCATCCTGAAGAGGGGATTCCATTCATTACACCAGAAAAATTGTTCTTCAACAGTTCATATGTATCAAGTTTTTAATAACTTCTTTTTCTTTGGTTTTTTGTATTTTTTACTCTTTGATTATTTTTGATATATTGAGAATTTTATATTTTTCATATATCTGAAATAAATGTCAACTACATTTGTAACAAAAAAGGCATTAGACAAATCTAACTTAATCCGAAGGAATCCTGGGAGCGTTTATTCAACACAGAAGATCAATTATACTTATTTCCTTAGACTCCATTTTATATCATTATTTTTCGAACCATTTAAATTAATTTCATACGTTTTCCTTCAGATTGAAAAGATATATTTTGTCCATGAGGACTATACAATTCTCAATATATCGAGAATAATCAAAGACTAAAGAATAAAAAAAAACCAAGGAAGACGAAGTTTAAAAAATTGATACATGAAATGATGAAGAATTATTTCGCTGATCTAATGAATGGAATCGTCTCTTCCACTACTCCTTGACATTAGTGCGGGTTTGCCTTACCCCTACTCTGTCGACTGTAGCGCTACTGACGAACCAGTTATCACAGGTTTCCGTCCTTTACTATCATTCTTTTATGAATGCATCATCCAGAAACATGAAAACTATTTACAAAATTTCATCTAAATGTTACAAACTATCGGTCGGTAAGAAAAAAAGCCACTAGTATTTCCATTTTTTAATAACATTTATAAACTCATTGAACTTACTAGCTGAGGACGTGATTAATCGAGAAAACACATAAAACAACAAATGTAGAACTCTTTGAAAACTTTAAAAATAAATTTTATAAAAAAATGAAAAAAAGTTGACCATTTTCTTACAAATCAGCAAAAAGATTTTTTTAGTATTTTTATGATATGCGCCCCACTCGAAATGGAAAAAACTACTGGAAAAATTTGATTTACATGTCAATATCTATCGATTAAAATAAAATTAGCCACTAGTACGTTAACAATGGGTTTCTCCTTTTCTAAACCCTTTTCCGGGAACTGTTTGCAACTGTAAGAGATATATTACCTAGGTGACACACCCGAACCCTCACTCGGAGCCATACTTATTACCTGACACGGGCACATCATTGAAGATATTTAACTTCTACCCAAGTTTTATGACCTCTACTGCCAGTAGGTCAAAAATTTTAGTCAAACTTTAAACGCTCGGGGCAACCGTCAAAATGCATTTTAAAAATATGCAAAAATTCACAGGGGTATTTTATCAACTGAAGAATCATTTTTTAATGCGAAATCGGAAATATTCAGGAATACCCGTAAAATGGGCCACCCTATTGTATGCAATACAAGAGCAATCTCCCACTTGTTTTTAAAATTTTCTCATGATGCGTTCAATGAATCGTAAGACAGATGCATGCCTTTGTTTCTTGAAGTCTAACGATCATTTTGAAAACAAAATGTCGATCACAACATGGTGAAAAATGAGGTACCTGGGCCGTTTTAAAGGTAAAAGCGAAAAACTTTTTTTGTTGATGTATCGGGTACAATCGATAGTAGTTATCACAAGTCGCTCAATGAGTTCCTAACTCTAGTAAAGACAATTAGTATTTGTTTATATATTTTGATATATATCGTCTTGTGTACTATGATTTCATCCCCTAATTGCCCTCGGCTGTTGAGTTTCTCTATGAATGAATGAGTAAATAAATAAGATGGAAATTGTCGTTCGAACTCTGGGACCAGTAAAGGATATTTGATGCCCAAGAGAAATCCTTCTGGTCAGAGAGTTCCCATGAGAGAGTCTTCCATGATTTACTCAAGGCACTATAGCGGTGATAATATTAATATTGCTTTGGTAATTAGTATTGATACTGAAACTAACAAACAGCTATCATCTCCGTGGTTACGACCCTCTGTCTCTTGGGATTCCATCAGGGAAAATGGGAAGGGTCTTCCAAATGAGTTTCGTGTGAAGTATTGAAGAACATGCATTCAACGAAAAAAATCATGTTTTCAAACAATTTTTGTTCGAAGTGTTCAAACCAGAAAAATCGAAAGTTGATAATTCCGAAGATAGAAATTGGCTCAAGTGAACAATCGACAGTTTCAGACACGCACAATTGCTCTGCTTTTAACAACGAAATATTTAACTCAGGCGGATCATTCGTGCGAGATGGTGACTTTTCAGGAGAAGAATATTTCTCATAATGTGAAGTTGATCAACAAATATTTTGTTCCTAATGTACAGTATTGCGATCACATCATAATTATTATTCTATTCAAAACTCAATTTTTTTTCCTGTGAGTATTGGATAGCCAAAATGAATAACTATTTTCGTCACGGGGGCATAATACACCGGGTTACGGTCGAGTGAAAAGTTACTAGCAAATATTTATCACATCCAGAAAAATGATTTATTTGAGTTAAATAAACTTTATTTGAATCAAATAAATCCACCTTTAAAACCAAATAAACGATTTAGTTCATTCCAATAAAGTTAATTTAATTTGATTCAAATGAACCATTGTTCTGCGAGCAAGTGTCCACTGCATCGTAAGAACAACACAGAGTTTTTTTGAAATTTTATGAAAAATATGAAAGTAATTCTTATGAGAGTGACATTGAATCAGATTTAGGTGAAAAATGGTGATGAAATTTCAAGTTTTAGGTAGAATTCAAGGAAATTCATGAGTTATTAGTGTGAGTGAGATGGAAATTTCACAACTTGATTGAATTTTCAATAGAACATGAATATTCAGGAACAAAATGACATGAATTTTCAATTTTTCTCAAATTTTCCTGATTTTTCTGAATTTTCATGGAATAATTTAACTGAAAAATCAAGTATTTTATTGATTTTCAGATCATTTGAACCAAAAATTAATGGAATATTTGATTTTTCAATGTCGACATTTTCTGAAATTTCAGTGAAAATTAAACACAATAAAAATTCCCAGGATTTAGCACGAAAAATTCAGACGCAAATTTTTAACAGTGAAGTAGAACAATTTGCGTGAGTTAAATTGAATTGAAAAATTACAAATTCATGAAAAATTACTCATTAATCGACAGAATCCTGAGAAACGGCAGCACGCGTAATGCTTCCACTTCGAGTTGTATCATCAAATTGTCCGATAGATCGAGGCTGCGGAGCCGCTTGAGTCCACTGAATGCCCCCGATGGTAAATGACTTAATCGGCACGAAGCGAGATTTAATTCCTTGAAAATAATAATCCTCACTTTTCATTCACAATTATCTTTCATGTTTCACCTGAATCCATTTGTTTATGTTTTACCTACCGTGATTGAAGGATTCTCCAAGAAGGGGACATGTTGATTAAAGTTGTTCCCTGACAATCTGAGAACTCTCAAGTTCGTGTTGTCAACGAAGGTGTTGGGTAAAATATAATAGAGATGATTTCTCGATAAATCGAGAACTGTCAACTCCTGTAAACCGCAGAAGGCTGACAAACCAATTTCGTTGATGGCATTGTCCGAAAGGTTCAGGTACCTCAGCTGTGTTAAACCTGTTGACTGCAAATTTCTACATGAAAAATTCGAAATTAACACAATATTATCGTAGAAGCTTGGTAATGGAGCACAATTCTACTGTAGGGATTTTGTTTTGAAATCAAGAGAAAAAACAAGTAGAAAATTGCTTTCGTCACAACATAGTCAATATATTTTTGACCAAAATCTATGACGGTGTATCTTAAATTGAATTCAATAACTCTTTGCATTCATCATTGGCCCAACTTTGGCAGCCAACATTGGCCCAACGTTGGCGGCCAACATTGGCCCAACGTTGGCGGCCAACATTGCCTAAGCGTTCATATTTTTTATCTTGCCCTGAATATTGGATTCAAAATGAATTTTTTCAACAACAGATGATGCAATCAATCTCATTATCGAGCCCGGTCAACATGGCATTGGGAAGGATATTTTAATTCACAAATGGATTCATTTAAACAATTATTTTTTCAGTTATCGTCGAAAAACGATCGGTCAAGTATATACAATTCCTTGCACATGACACAGGAGCTTGACCCCCCTTTTCACTCCAGAACAACTATGTTGTTCTCAATCACGCACACACGCGATCAAAAAGATCTAAAACCTCCTTCGTAATTTACTTGTTTTTTTACATGTACAACACTTGGTAAAATACCGGTGGTATTCTATTTACTTGCCTAACCTTAATGCCTAAGTTTAATTGCAATTAAAGCGCATAGCTTCGTCAAATCCCTCAGAGAAACGTAAAAAAGAAGCGTAAAATAGTGTTTATATGCCATTTATTTTGATCTACCACCGTTTTCCTCAACTGATATTGTTTGTAAATATGTGTATATTTGTTTCTATGTGATTATAATGTTAAATGATTTGACCCTGTAATTGGCCTAGACTATTGGGTCTCTAATAAATAAATAACAAATAACAAATAACAAACCCTGGTCGTGAACGATATTTTTCCGCCATGATTTTCACTTTTACGAGTTTGGGGAACGGCCAATACCAATCCCCGGACGAGGAAAAGTGAAAGTCAGTACGGAAAACAAATTTAACGTTGGGGCAATGTTGGCTGCCAACGTTGAGGCAATATTGGTAATCAACATTGGGACAATGTTGGCTGCTAACGTTGGAATAATCTTGAAATGAATGAATCATTGAATTCAATTTAAAATACATCATCACAGAAATTCCCTTCGGACGTAAATTGCTAATTTATTAGGAAAAATATATTGACTTTTATGACAAAAGCAATTTTCCACCTATTCTCTATGAGAAAGACGCAATTGAAAAACTTGTTCGAAAATCAGGTGAGTAACGAAGGGTTACGGAAACAACAAAATGATTTTTAAACTGTTATCTCGCGCCCCGAAAACAAATGACGCTCTCTGCAGTCACAAGTCGCCACTACAGACAGTCACAGAACCTCAACAACAAAGACAAAAAAAACAAATAAAGCGACGATGAATCACCATGCAGTTGATTTCTACTGTTTCGTCAAAAACAACGATTTACCTGGAGCTCGTAATCCGCCAGAATGGAAATCGTATTATTAGATATGTCTAGTGCCTGCACAATGTCAGATATTCCCGTATGAATACTGTAAAGATGTTGACCTGAGCAAGAAGCCCATCGCAGGGAATACCAGGTGTAGCAGGTACAAAATGCCGAGCAATTGTCATTGTTACCTGATAATCCCACGGGCTCTGCAGGTATATTAAGAACAATGAGCATGAGTACGAGAACTACATTTTTCAGAAAATTTTTGTACGAAAATAGACGAGTATTATTCATTGTCTGTAATGGAACTGTATCGCTGGGTACAGTGGTGTGGAGCGTCGTAATCTTATCTTTTCAAATTTTAGTCATCACTCATCACTCATTTTGCCGAACAGATACGAGAGAAACCGATTCGTTCATTTCCGAGTTTTGAATAATTTTAGAAGACTTCCTGAGAATCGAAATCTACATCAATAATGATTTATTTATTTATTTATTTATTTATTTATTTATTTATTTATTTATTTATTTATTTATTTATTTATTTATTTATTTATTTATTTATTGCTTTATACAGACCCAACAGCTCAAGGCCAATTATAGGGTCAAAACTATAATTGAGATACATAATTAATTACAGCATAACTGTAATCATAATGGAGATAACAAAATGATGAGAATTTTAGGGGAGAAAATGGAACTCATTGCTGTTTTGGAAAAAATTGTAATTTTTTCTTGAAACTGTTCATCATTGCTTCCGAATGGAAACTTTGTAATCGGTAGATTTTTAGATTCTCTAATTTCGCTTGGAAGTGACTTAGAATGTTATGAAAAGTCGAGATACGGTGTTTTTAGAGCATGTCGGTGTGTACGTCCGGATGTGCGTACAACATTCTGTGGAATTTTTTTTATAAATTTTAACAAAACAACATTTGACAGATTACATATGACTGCTACTCTCCACGTATTTTTTTTCTCCTATTTTCATTTCTACCAATTTCAGGTAATTAGATAGAATAGCAACTCCTATTCATTCGGGATACCGATAGGTAAATATCAACTTTTTTATATTGAACTTGAAGTAATTTGAGGTATATTGTGTCGGAACTTAGTTGCTATAAATGAATTTAACCTCTTTTGAGCTATCACACTTAATAATATACTCATGTAGATGTACGGGACTTCTCATTCTGCGCTTTCCCTTCTAAAAGCATTTATGAAGCATCATTTATGAGGTGTTCATATAAATTCAATGTGTAGTGAAGCACTTATTCTTAAGGGTGCCAAGTGAATTTGAAAAAAGATTCAAAAAAAATTTTTTCTTTCCCTCCATCATTGGAGAAATATGTATTCATCCATCCGACGAAATTTCAAACCCGCAACCGGAACTAGACATCGAGAAAATAAATGCGGAAAATCCTCTATTTCGCGTGACGAACCTCGAGAAAGCATGGGATCAAATGGGTACGGCGGGTTGAAATATCTCTCTTATTCACCCCGGTACCCCATTGTTTTTTGTCGCCATCACATTGAACACATCATTCCCCATATCTTCAAATTTTTTCAAATTTTTCTTGAGTTCCTAGGGGGTTGAAACGTTCAATTTAATCAAAACTCCATAAGAGGCCGTGTATAAGACTGATTTTGTTTATTTAATTTCTCGATATCCATAAGTTCTAAAATTTTAAAATTGTCACCGATGTTCCCCATCTGTCTAATACTATTAATTTAAAAAATTATAACTTTGTTGGTGAATGTCAATTTTCAAGGTCATCGCCAAATTCACTTGGCACCCTTAAAGTATCAAGCTTCACCAGCACTTAGCATTACCCAGGGTTCGCGACGGCGACGCAGCTGGTGTGAACCCCACAAAGCCCAAAATTTGGCCCAGTCACCCCCTTCAATTTATTTACCTAATTGAGTCCGACTCAATTTTCTTCTTGACTTCAATTTCTATTGCTGTTAAATGACGAAATAATTCAGCTTCCTCGAAAAATTCATTGGAGTAGTTATATAATCTAATTACCTAATAGACATAGGATTGGTAGTAGGCTTCCGAATGGATTCCAATGTATGTTTTCAAAAAATGAAGGCATAAGGATTACCATTTTTTGAAAAAATTAAAGTTAATCTCACTCATACTCCATGACAAATATCGTTAGCTATTATCATCTATTTATGGACAAATCATGCTTCCCATGACGACCATTCGTGAATCATCTAGTCAGAATAAAGAAATTATTAGAATTAATGAATATGAGAAACAGTAGTGGTCACACGGGTGAGGTGCGGCGGTGGTCATCTAAGCTTTGTCTTATTTTCTCCTATTTCTATAAAATAAATTTGAGAAGAGCATATATTCATGTTGTATGGCTTTCTCAGCTATCCTGGTGTGAAATTGAACGGTGAAATATAGATGCGTCAATTTTTTTTTCTCAAGAATTTTGGGTGAATTGTACCATCTCAAGAACTGTAAAATATATCGACCTATTTAGAGAAGATTTAATAGAGGAATGTTCCTTGACAATCCTAACTAGAAGCCAAAGTTTCAAAAGATTTCTGAATTCTGACCAAACAAGCAGGAGCCAGTGAGCATGTGGCAGTGAACATCTCACTCATTAATTTTTTTTTAAACTTTCTCTGCAATCGATAAATTGATGGTGGGCTTCCGAATGGTTTTTAGCGTAATAAAATTTGATTTCAACTTGATATTTCAATTTTTGCGTCTGCTAGAGACCGAACAACGATTTCGAGGTAAAAATAGAAAAATCGATATATCTCGAAAACTGTATGAATGGGTAGATAGAGGACATCAAGACGAACATTAAAAAAAATATTGAAATCGATATTGGATATTTTCCGAAATATTTGGGAAAAAATGTAAAAAAACAAATCGCTATTTATCAAAAACTAATGGACGGATTCAGCTGAACTTTGGCGTAGAGTTAGTCCCAAATTATACCAATAAACTGACAAAATTTCAAATTATTTGGGATGATTTTGCCCGTTTATTCGTCAATTTTAAGAAAAAGTGACCAAGGACTGGACATGATCACACACAGACAGGGTCCTAAAACTTCGTATTTTTGCGTTTCAGATTATTCTGCATCGTTTCCAAGCAAAACTAGCGAGTCGAAAAATCGATCAATAAGGATCGATAATCGATCATTCGGAAGCAAAAAATCCCAAAACGACAATACCTCGAACAATTTCAATGGGATGGTACCCATATTTTCTTCGATCTAGATAATGACATCAAAACACATATCTTAAAAAAATGAAATCGGACGATTAGTTTTTGAGATATTGAGCAAAAGAGTTTCACATAGAAAGTTGAATATCTCCAAATCTATTGGTCAGATTTCGTTCATCCAGGATCCCAAATTTTGTTACCATAAAACCTAAAATCATATCAAGTTTTAAGTTTCTATCTCGATTATTTTTCAAGTTATCGTGCGAACAAGCAATTTCAGCGAAAAAATGGAAAAAAGAGAATAAAACACATTGTTCAGGGTGTAATGGTCTTTTTTCAATCCAATTAAATCGGTATCATCATGATGAGGATTTTGAAAAAAAAATCGAATTGGTCGAATGGTTCAGGAGATATTGGAAAAAAACGATTTTCGAAGAATGGCTATATCTCAGGAACCACTCAACTGATCGAGCTGAAATTTAGCACAAATTTGAGTCTCAGTAGTAGCAATTAGCAGCCAGAATTTCAGCATCTTTGCCTCAATAATTCTCGAGTTATGGACACAGACATGTTTTCTTCACGTTTCATGACATTTCTAGGCATTTCCACCTAGAATTAAGAAATCGAAAAAAATCCCGATTACAAAGCTTCCATTTGGAAGCAAAAAATCGTTATTGTTCACCAATTGAAAGAAAAATTGATCCTCTGAATAATTCATCAATCATTGAAATTATTCAGAAAAAAAGATGAGAGAAATTAATTGCAAATCCGAATAATGTAATTCCAATATTAATATTAATGACATGAACCCGACATTTACCGTTTTTCCCTTTGTAACAAATGAGTTTCAATGTCGAGCAGGATGCGAAACGGAACAAAGGATCCGATTCATGGAAAATCAATAAACTCATAAACCAAGTGTCGCCGGACTCCGACAGAAGGCGCCACAATGTCTAATTTTCTCCTCATCCCAACGTGCAATTGTGCACCGAGTCCCGCTACAATCGTGATGTAGCCCACACGCTTCCAATTATCATCGTAACGCTTTCATTTCACTAATGCAAAACCTCTTAATGCGTATAAAATTGAGTAAAACTCAAGGAATAGCAAATCATCCACCTGCAAATGGATTGCGAGTTGCAATAAAGAAAGCAGATTAACATTTCTCAGAATAAATTTCATTCCACAACTCATGAATTATTAATCAAATCTTTGTTTTCAAAAAGAGACTGGTCGAAAGAAAAAATAAACAAAGCAGTGATTAAAGGCCATTGACAGGCCGATAACGAAAAATTTATTTTGGAATTTGTCGAGGGTACATAATGCGTCATGAGCGTCATGAGCCGATATATTTATCAGTCCTGCGGTTCAAAAAAATTTGTAGAATTCTCAACTCACCAAATAACTGCGACACTCGAGCATTATTACACACTACGAGGGGGTAGGGGGGGGGTCTAACTTGCCTATATAACGGTAAAGTAGGTTTCGTTCAATTTACATTCCACGAAGTAAAAGAGTACAGACGTACTGTAAAGTAGGCCTTGCCCACAACTAGTGCCTAGGCACAGCAAGCGGAAGTTGTTGCTTCTCTGCGTGCATAACATATTATAAATCCATAATTTTCACAGTATGATTACGAGACTAATTAATTATACATCAGTCTCATGGACAATTACCAAACAGCAACGTACCCTCGTCCGCCTTATCATCAATTTCCATCTCTATTCGTGTTTATTCATCCCCTTGTGGTTCTTATTTTTGTGAAACTATTATTTTAGTTTCTTCATGTGCAACTTTTTGATGGCAGTTATGAAGGGCTCAAGTGCTTGTGTACTGTCAGATTTTTTTTGTCTCTCTATACTATAAAAATCCGGATCGACTTTTGGTGATAAAAATTTGGTACTTGAAATGAGAACTTCGTCATGAGGGTCAGAATAAAAGTCACGAAGAAGAGAACAAGGGTCACGAGAGTCAAATTAAGGGTCACAGGAGTCAGATTAAGGGTCACGAGGGTCACAAGGGTCAGAATAAGAATTATGGGGGGCATATGGGGGAAAATCGAGAATTAGTTGAACATTCACAAAATTAACTGATTCGTAAATGAAGAAATATACAGAAATTTCATGTAACTTTGTCGTTGTCAAAAATTTCGAGCTTTTTCACTTGAAATTTCAAGAGTAATTTTCTAACGGTGTTAAGATTTAATGGGTTCGAAATAGTTTTTAAATGCAGAATAAATGAATGCCCTGATGAAGAATACTTTGTGTGTTGAAAACGTTGACAGTTAGCGAAAGAATTATTTCCCTTGAATCTATCCTTTCTTCGTTTTTCGATTAAAATTTCTGTGATGACCGAACTGTTAATCTTGGCATTAAATTAATTATCGTCTGTCGAACAAGACCCGGGGATAAAATAATACATATGTAAACTACACAGTGTAAGTGAGGAGACCAACCGGTGTCACCGTCACGCTGTCACGCAGAGTGCATTGCGCAACGTCCACGGAAATAAATCTAGGATAGGCCACTGGTTACTGGGGGAATACTTGACTTGCCCGTGTCGATTTGCCAATGTGTGGTATTTGGATATTCAATCTGTATATGCCCCCACACTGTTCCTTTGTTGTGGCCTTTTAAACCTCCACAATAATATTTACAGCCCGAGGGGATGTGGCACACTCAATCCCTTCTCTCTCATTGTTTATTAAACTCAATGAGACTTTCTCTTTCTCTCGAGTGTGATCATAACTGTCATCCATACTCTTTCACTTCCTGCGAATTTTCGCAGGAAGAATCACAAGGAAACGACGTGGAAAGAAAACATGTAATGCAGCTGCATTCGAGGGACCTTTGAATTTTTTTTTAAATCAAAATCAGTAGTAAAGTAGTTTTAACTGAGTTGTCAAGGAATATCTCGGAATCTAAGGGAGATGGAGAAATTTTCGTTATAACCTTTTTTGTAGATCTCAGCCTGCTCTACAAAAAAGGTTATGACGAAAAAATTTCTATCTACCTCAGATCCAAAGATATTCGTAAAAACTGACCAGTAGTAAAAAAAAATTGGACTGTTTTACAGTTTCGCTACTGAAATAACCGATCGCACGTGAAAAATTATCACTCAACGATAAAAAATGACGATTATTAACGATAATAACGATAAATCCACGGGCATAATATCACCGCAAGTATTAACCACAGTATATAAACGAAAAGCCGGCTGAGCGAACCAAATAGAAGAGGACAGATTAGAGAGAAGGCTGACGGTGCACTCGGCTCTCGCAGAGCCTCCAAAGTCTTTGATTTCGTCACTGGCAGTTTCCAGCTGACACAGACTCTTATGAGGCCATAACGGCGAGAAAAAAAATCCCTCCTCAAGCTCCACCGGCTTCTATCTCCATCGAGTTCAATTCCATTTATTTTATTCTGTAAAGTCACCCATGATTATCATAAATAACTCATGCACTGCGCATTTACAACGTAAACACCGCTGTACGTCTCGTTTTGATGGCATTTTAATGGGTCTAAATGGGATATTTGAGGCTTATTAGGCCTCCTTCCTACAACTACAATCATTACTCCTAATGTTTCTCATTTCCTGAAAAATCGAAATCCCTCTTGACGATGTATTCATGGATATCGGCATTAAATCAACGCAAATGGGGCCTTGGCAATTCCGGCTTAATGCTGTGCCGGCTTTGTTGCAACTCGTGTGTTTGGAATTGCTCGGCGAGACACTCCGCTCGTTCGATGTCGTCACCGACGCCCTCAGCTGATGGCAAAATGGCCGCCATTCACTGACAGCTCACGAGAATAGCTTCTTTCTCTGGCACACGCAAGGGGAAACCAAAGAACCGCACCCGCATTTGTCAACTGCACAGCTGTTTGTATAAAATCATTATTTGTAATGTTTCTCTTCAGGGCTGATGCAGCAATAACTCAATTTTTTTATTTTATCCGCTGTCCTACGGTCGTGCAATTCGAGGGACTGCCGCGGTATTTGGGAGAGCCAAAGGCCAAATTCTGCCGGATATTTTCCGTTAATTACGAACAGGTTGTTCTGTCGATATTTGAAATGCCTGTGGCTACTCCTCGGGCCTCATTGTCGCCTCACAATTGTTGAATATCCTCACAGCTGATGGGAAATTGTACGCCCGGCGAGTGTAAACAATCATTCGTCAGCTCCAATTGCCGTAAAGAATGTCATGATTTATTAATTTCAATAAAGAAATACGTGAAACAATGGGGTTGAGCCTTTGACTACTGTATTGTTTTGTCCCACAAAGACGAGAATGTCAGATAATTAGAGTGAATAAAGTTAATGGAGGAGAGAGAGGCAGAGACAGGGAGATGAGCACGACAAAAGAGATGCGTCATTTTCTACGTTACAGTTAAATCCTCGACGTTGGAGGGGTTTATGCTTTTGACACTACGTAACACAAGTCTTCGATGTGGTTGTCCACACCAATATTTGTATTAGAAATGAAGAAAACACTCCAGGAACTGAACTACGAAGCCTTTTTTTTTAATTACTAGGGGAGAGTAGGGTAAAACGGACACTTTTGCCTTTTTTGAAATATTCATGATGTGTTGAATTGTTCATGAAATGGAATAATTTTATTTTCCAATTGAAAAACAATGATTCCTCTTTGTGATGAGCTTAGCCTGAGCTCAATTGATAAATTTCTTTCTGAGTTATGAATATTTTTAAAAAAGTCAAAAGTGTCCATTTTACCCTCCCCTCCCCTACTATGTTTTCCTAAAACAAAATGGATTGAATAGTTTAATTACATAAGGATAATAATCCGATAAAATTTTTCTTAGCCGATTTGATTTTTTAAAATATTTTTTGGTGTATTCAATGGAAATTTGAGGATAGAAATTAAATTTATGAGTGTTGGTTCATTATTCGAAAAATATCAATTTTAAAATTTCCCTGGACATTGAAAAATTAAAAATTCTGTTTCGTGTTGACCTTGTTTCTCTTCCTCTTTTCACTTTCTTCCATAAGAATGAGATAATAGAAAGAAAATACATTGGTTTTTGTTCAGTATTAAAAAGAAAAGTTTTGAAATTTTCAAAATTGAAAAATCGATTTTTTAAATTTATTTCTGATTTCCCTTCCCTAAATTTTCCGTATTTCCTGTCCCTGTGAATTGAATACGACCACAGGAATTTTAGAAAAAATCTCCCTTAATTTCCCTTTCATTTTTAAGAAGAAAAAACAATTAAAAAATTTAAAAATTTTGAAAAAACAGAAAAATAGGTTTTTTCATTTTATTGATATCTTTGCAATTTCCTTCTTCTTCGGTTCCATTGAAATGAGATCAAAGGGATGTAAAATGTTCATATTCGTTCACAATTTCAGAGCATTGGTACTAATTAATTTAAAGAAATGAAAAATTTGAGGTATGATTATCGAAAAGTATTTGTCGATCTGCGTTACAATACAATAAGAATGAATAAAATTAAATTAATCTAATTGTGAAGACGGAAATGGAAATAAAATAAAATAACAATTGAGTTTTTGAGGAATATTTCCGAATCTAAAGAAGATACCGAAATTTTCGTAATAACATTTGTTGTAGCTCTCAATCGGCTCTACAAAAAGGGTTATAACAAAAATTTTGCTATCTCCCTCAGATTCCGAGATATTCATTGAAAACTGGTGAATAGTCAAAATTGACTTGCACAGTTTTACCACATCGCTACTGAATTAATCTAGCGCATTAAAAAACTGATTCAGGGAAAATTTTCTTCTTCTTTTATTCGTTATGGTGACATCCTCAACTCAAAGAGTGACAGACGAACACCATTACTCCTCCATTACCATTATACTAGTTCCATGTATATTTGTAAGTATTCGATTGTTAATTCGTGGAAGGTGACTAGATTAACTCAGTTAAAATCATGGTGAGTACGCCGGCGTTGCGAAAACCCCATGGTGGGGCCGACGGTAAGAAGTAAAAAGGATAAAAGGAGAACGGACAAAGGGAGGGTGGGAGCAGAGGGGGGGGGGGCAGAACGGTCGTCGTCGGCGAGGGAAGGGGGGCAATGGTGAAACAGTACCCGAGGAAGATAGAGCGATCAAGGGCGAGGGAGGGGAGGGGCACAGGAGGGGAATAGTGGAAGGGGCGATGGAGGGTCTGGCGTTTGGCTATGATTTTTGCTTAGGGTTCTCTATATTCCCTACTATTTATCGTCCTCGAGAGACGGCCTCAACCAATGGGAGTAAGTAGGTCAGATTAATCCACCAATGAAAATTCAGGGACGGTGATCACGTGGGTTTGTTGTTATCTATCAGCTGTTTTACCCGGGCGGGTGCGCGGTGAGCGGCAAATAAACGCGGGCGAATGAACACAACCGGCCGGCAGGCAAGCGCCCAGTGAAAGCCCCGCTTGGTTGTCGTGCGCGTCTCCAGTCCCACCCGGTCTGCTCAGCTGTGCGTCACATGTCGGATTTTACAGCGAGTTTTCTCCCCCCCCCCTTCAGCCATTATTCTATTCCATTCGTATAAACTGTGTTTATACGTCCGTGGATGAAGGATTGTAATCAGTAGTGCCACTACAATAGTGAAAAAAATATATCCGAAATAAGAGGAATTTTTCTTACCAACACCAATAACCAGTCGGCCGTCAGCGGCATTGGGTATCCCAGGCATCGGCCATTACCACCACCACAAACTCGACAGTGGCGTCGTGTTACACACCACTACAGGGCTAAACGTGAAGCAACGAGGCACCCGAAGGCACCACGCGCTCTATCCCGGCGCATTCTTTTCGCGTTCCTTCGTGGGTGCTAAACACTTTGTGTGATATTGGTGATTGTTTTCGCGGAATTATCGAACCGCTATCGATGATAATTGCATCGCAGTTGAGTTAACGTGCCAAATAAAACAGTGAAGGGTTTTTTTGGTTTAAGGAGATCGGCCAGTGGTGATTGATACGAAATTAACGATATTCTTGATTGCCGATCTGATCTTGAGTGCTCGATTGTTGAAATAAACAGTTGAACGGGCTTTCGGGTATAATCAGTTATAACGTATTATGGTGAAGTGTACGTTGTTATCTGATTTCAGAGGAAAATCAGTTGTTACGAGGTGGATTGAGAATGCTAAGGGCGCCGTGACGAAGCCAGACATACCACGTTGCCGTAACGGTGAATATACATTTGTACTGCCTAGCCGGCACCGTTGGCCACCACGCGTCCGCCTGACGCTTTGAAATAAAAAAATCTTTTAATAATCCTCGGTATTGGGTCAACAATAATGACATGAAGTGATTGATGACGAAAATTCCGGCGAAATTGCAGTGTGAAGAGTGAAAAATCAGTGTGTGGGGGAAAATTTTGATGAAAAGAAATAATGAGGGGAGTGTTAATGGACAAGTTTTGTAAAGATCGGGTCAAGAGTGTTGGTGTTTTTTCAATGATAAATTAGGTGGTAGTTAAAGTGTGTGCGGAATAATTGAACTCGTGGAATTCATTGATTCCAAGTTTCAGAGGGGGAAAATATCCGGAAAAACGCATGTCGTAATTTTATTGGGGAAACTGACTCGATAATTGGTCACAATGTCGACTGGCAAGCGTTTGGCAAAACGTAGTATAATCGGTACACGAGTTTGTGCACCGGGGATGGACGGAAAATATTACAGTGGGGTTATCCATGCGGTTAAGACGCCGGCATCAGCGGCTAGTGACGCTGGCCTCAGCCTAACCCCGTCTACACGTTATTCCGTGCGTTTTGATGCCGTACCGGGCGGCAGGCCACCCAGTCCAAGCACAGAGTATTGCGATCGCGATCTCATTGGGCCTGGCTTTGGCACTGTCAATGGGGTGCGTCTCATGCCGGGACAGAAAGTTTATCTCACTTACAGGGGTAGGGAAATTCAGGCGGAGGTAACGATGCATAAAGAGCATCAGGACGAGGTCGAAGTCAAGATTGCGGCGACTAATGGATCGGAGGTGAGTCGTTATGATTTGAAACATTAGATTAGGGGAAATGTGATGGGCATTCGTCTGTGGGGGGGAGGGGGCATTAATGCGGAATTAGCGGTGGGGAAAATTGAGTTTGAGCGCTGGCGGATGCAACTCCCAAACGAGCCAATGCTCGGCACACGTATCGCTCCCAACGGATGTTTGACCCCCTCCGTGGGTTCCTAAACACCGTTCCACGGTTTATGCCCCTTGCGTACGCAATGAGAAGTAAGAGATAGATAAAGCTATGCATTCCCCGGTTTTGCCCAATGGATCAGTCGGGATTCGTTGGGAGGCCCAGGGACTTTGGGGTTTTCTCCGGGGAAGTGGGTTCCTAATTTTGTTGGGGAACGTCAAACTTTTAGTTGAAACCCGTTTCAAGTTTTCGGATGTTTTAGAGTGATTTTGATATTCGAACTTTGCAGGTCGGAATTTGAATCTTAATGGTGAATAGTTGGAAAACTTTTGAATAATGGAGCTGAAACTAGCGGAGTATTTGGCAGCGGAAAATTCAGTTTAGGGGATATTGAAGGGTTTGGAGAGTCGAATAATCATATGTACAAATGTTTTTTGAGTGCGAAAGAGTTTGCATTATTTAAAAACATTCGTACACCCCTGCTGTCGAATCTTTCGCTCATTTCAGCTTAATTTTTTGAAAATTAGAAAGTTTACCTTTGAGGAAGAATGATGATATAATTTGGAAATTGCAATTTTCAAAAATTACGAGCATTTTCTGTAAATAATTTATCAATCGATTTTGCACAATAAAAATCTTTTTTTTATCAGAAATTTCATGCATAAAAAATGAGGTTTCAGAATGTTTAAACAATTTCAATTATTTATTTGTAAACAACAAATTTTTTAAAAAATTATAATTTTGTGCAAAATGTAATTTGAATGACTCTGAATATTCATAACTTTTTTCAAATTGTTTGCACGCAATTTAATTGACAAATTTGATGACTGAAAATGGTTGAACCTATAGTGTGGTCGGTAGCAAACTGTAAAAGATATCATGGCAATTTTTTCTCATTTGATCGCAAGTTTCCGAATATTTAAAAATGATTTGATTATTTAAAATTCACAGGATTGAATTTGAATCTTGATATTGAACCGTTAGAAAACATTTTTTAAATGTGAAAAAAATAGGAAGTTTACTTCTGCTGGAAGATTGATGGAATAATTTAAAAATTGGAATTTTGGAAAATTAACAAGCATTTTCGGTAAACAATTTATAATCAATCAATTTTGACCATAAAAATCATTTGTTGCGGAATTATAACAATTTTTTCACATTCAGAATTTTCCCAAGAATCGATTCGATTCCTAAAAAAAGGTTTCCGAAAGTTTGAACAATTTCAATTATTAATTTATAAACAACGAATATGTGAAAAAATCATTGAATAGAATGCTTTATTTCCTTCATGCTACTATGACAGTTTTACATGTACACAAGACAGAAAAATATCGTCAATAAAACTCCAATCAATTATATTGTTATATCAACAATGCATAGTAACCAATAATAATATCACAGCATCCCAATTTAAGCGATTGTTTAATTTCTAGACTCTTAAAGCTTCTTTTCACCGTAGTCTCTCAACACTCTATCTTAGTCAGTCCCAATGGAAAAAATAATTCTGGACAAAATGTAATTTGAATGACGCTGAATATTCATGTTTTTTTCACGCACTTTAATTGACAAATTTGATGAAAATGAAAATGGTTGAATCAACCCGTGTCTATGTGAACGTAGAATTCTTTTCTCCTACAATTATTAATTTTTATCTATGAAACTACTTTATCAACTCTATTATTGCATTATTGCGTCAATGAAGTAGTTTCATAAATAAAAAATAGTAATTGCAGGAGAAAACACAATTCTAAATGTTCCTATAGACACAGAGAATCCATTTCACGTTAAGAGGTAACAGAATGCTCTTAATTTTCAAAATTTTTGAACAAATTTCCTGCTGAAAGTTATCGATATTTTAAAAAATCGAAGCACATTAATCTCCAGGAGGTGATGGTGCAGATCAATGTGCTTTGGGTTGAAAAAATATTAATAATTTTCAGCAGGAAATTTGATTAAAAATTTTGAGAAAACGATGGCCTTCTGTTACCCCTTAAGATGTATCCCAAGACAATACCACCCAAAAGTTATTCCCCAGTAATTTCCGGAAAAAATTCTAAATTACTTAAGTATTCCATTCTCATAATCTATTGAGTTTTTCAACCCTCATGTTGTTGATGACACCAGCAATACCTGTTTAAATCAAATAAAAAATTATTTATTAATCAATTGTCTGAATCAAATAAGAAATAATTCCACGAAATTTCCATTTTTTAGAGTTGAATATCGCAACAAATGTACTAGAAAATTTTACAAAAAATTCCCCGTATTCAGAATTTATCAATTTACTACGGATTAGTTTGTTAAAAACATCGTAAGGACCGCTTTCTCATGACAGAAAAATCGAGTTTGAGGGGAGCCATAACCCCTGTTCGGCATATGCCTCGCGTGCTAGAAGCCCGTATTTTATTATTTATTAAACCTTAAACCGTGTAGTGCAACTAGTTAAATTTTTTTCCAATACCTGGAGTATATTATAAACATTATCGATGACAAACATGGGGACAATCGTGAGAAAAATCTGGTTTCTAGGGATATGCCTTAATAGCCCAGTGATTTTTCTACCAGCGTTACTACCGCCTGACGCATCATCCCTCATGTTGAAATGGAAAATATTATTTTTCGTGACCTCGTTCCTAAATGTGTATAACACCGGCACAACCGAGTAGGTGGCCTATTTATTTGTCGCGCATGTGCAATGCAACTGATGACGGAGCGAGCCCGGGTTTACCCTTTCATATATCTTTTATCTTCTCCCTTGATTCCTCCACCTTGTCCTTTACTCTCATTCGTTTCTCACTTATATGTCACGTTATTTAGCATGGACGGTGAATTGTCTATTCATTAATCGGAGTGAAAATTCCAGAAACAAGTGGGAATTGCTTCTACGTTAATATATTAGTTTTTTTTGCTAATTTATTCATTTTTTATACTATTTTTTTGTTAATTTATTAATTAGCAACATGTTTCCGAATGGTCATTTTGTACATCATCTGCTTCTAGTACATAATTCATCATTACATATTCCTATCCTATTTACTAAAGATGAAAGAAACGTGAAGTTGTTTTATATCGAAATATCTCGAAACTGCCTGATCACTAATCCTTAATTCTGATTGGTCAATAGGTGACACGAAGTTATTCACAAAAAAAAACGCGGCATTTTCAAATTCTTCAGTGGTAATTTTTTTTTCACGTCATATATACATAATATATATATTTCACATGTATATATATTATCGGTGAAATTAATAAATTCTGTCCTTTTATGGAGACCGATTATTTTAAAAAATTGAAGATAATTAATTGAAAATGAAAAATTCTTTATAGATTCTTTTACTCTACTTCGCTATTCACTTCAATCATTAGTCGAATTCTCTTTGATTCATTATCAATATTTATAAGATATTCATGAGAAAATGAAATTCAATGAATTCCATTTCTTCATTTCAACAAATGAATAGATCAGCGCGCGCATAGATCTTGTATTATATTAAATTCAATGAAATTTCTTCTTTAATCAATTGTGTTGTATTTTTAATTTAGTTTTATATTTGATGAAAATTCAAATATGAAATAATATATATCTATACCATCCGTTTATTTATTATTATTTTTTTATCGTTATTTTACATCGCTATCCATTTATTTGATGAAAGTGAAGTCGAAGTAGGTTGGTTTAATAATAATTGAATCAATTTCAACCTTTCTTTTTTTACTCAAATAATCAGTGGAAGTGAATTTTTCAGAAGATGGAAAATCAACAAACTTTTGAATGCTATGAGAATAATTTCCGAAATTCTTTTATAAATCGAATGGAAGAATGATGCTATCTATATTATGGAATGAATTTGAAACATCATATTTGAAGAAATCATCAGAAAATTCACTTTCAGAGTAATTTACGAAAACTTCTGAATTTACAAAAATCATCATAAAAATCAAACTAACGAATATAGGAGGCTTAACGATGTTTTAAGTGCCATTGAAACAAATATTTTCAGCTATCATTGAATAAATTTAGAGCGTGATATCCAATGATATCCTCGGAATTCTAATTTTTATAAAATACAAAATTTTTGAAAATTATTCTAAAAATCAAAACCACAATTAGCTATCGCTTCCATTTTCAAACTCAGTGGAAGAGACATCCAAAGAATTTTTCAAGCCATCATTCATTGAATTCATAATATTTTTTTTAGTTATAGTGGGACAACCGATATTTTAAAAAATTCAAAAATATAATAGGGAAGGTTGAGATAAAATGGACACTTGATTTTTTTTAAATGTTAATGACAGGTTGAAATGGTAATGAAATTTAATAATTTTTTAATAATTAATAATTAATTTTACAAAAATTGAACAAATGAGAAATTGCTTTTATATTAATATAATAGTGTTTTTCTAATAAATTAACAATTTGCTTCCAGTCATTTTAATTAATGCAAATTTTGATGCAAATTTTAATCAATGTCGATAAATAGGGCCCACCAATACCTACATTTGAAATTGAACGATTAAAACGCACCATTTGGAAGCAAAAATGTCCGAGATTACGCGGATTAATCACCATCAATTGGCCAGCGAAAAAGGAGCTAAATAAATGAACAGACGAAGAATGAGAACCGATACTTGTCTCCCAATTGAGCGAAGCTACGAAGAACCTAGATAGACTGTTGCGTTCAAGCCCATGCGGGACACACACACGCGTCCCCCACCGTGGCCAAAGATAGAGCCGGCCGGCCGGCATCCATTCGCAATGCCCTCCACAGGCGAATCGGAGCCCCGAACTAACCTCAACTGACGCCACCCGACTCTAGCCGAGGACAATCCGGCCAGCGCAGCCTCTCGTAGG